AGAGGATGAATGCAGGGATGGTGGTTCGACAGTGGACACAGAAAGGTTGGCAAAGGGAAAAACATGCTCATCAAACACGACGTCCCGAGATATATAGACACGATTAGTGGGAACATGAAGACATTTGTAACCTTTATGAAGAGAGCTATAGCCAAGAAAAACACACTTCTTAGAACGAAACTCAAGCTTGCGCTTGTTATATGGACGAAGATGCGGCCAGCAAGCACACCCAAATACCTTGAGAAAGGTATAATCAGGTTGTTCATTAAGGAGAACCTCAATAGGAGTCTTCATGTTTAAAACACGAGTAGGAGTACGGTTGATGAGAAAGCATGCAGTGGTGAAAGCATCACTCCAAAACCGAAACGGAACAGATGCATGGGCCAAAAGAGTAAGACCAGCTTCAACAATATGACGATGCTTACGTTCGACTGAACCATTCTGCTGATTTGTATGTGGACATGCTAAACGATGAGCTATCCCAAGCGACTGAAAGAAGGAGTTGAGGTTGCGATACTCGCCCCCCCCCCCCAGTCCGACTGGACATGAACAATTTTGTGCTCGAGAAGATGTTCAACATGTTTTTGAAACTGAACAAAAATATCAAACACATCAGATTTGCATTTAATAAGGTAAAGTCAGGTAAAGCGACTATAAGCATCAACGAAACTGATATAATAATTATGACCACTGACAGAAGTCTGAGCAGGACCCCATACATCTGAAAACACAAGTTCTAAAGGATGTTTCACCTTACGACTGGACTCCGAAAAAGGAAGTTGATAACTCTTCCCCTGCTGACAAGCATCACACACTGCTACATCTTTATTACTAGACAAACTAGGAAGCTCATGACGACGCAAAATATGACGGACAATAGGTGTGGCCGGGTGACCAAGACGAGCATGCCACTGTGACGGAGAAACTCGAACTCCACTGAAAACGCGAGCGACGCCAGGATGCTCCAGACGGTAGAGGCCCTGGCACAACCGCCCACTAAGAAGAATGTCCCTTGTGCCCCGATCCTTAATAAAAAGATCAAAAGGATGAAATTCATAAAGCACATTATTATCACGGGTGAGTTTAGGAACTGAAAGAAGATTACGGGTCACAGATGGAACTCGAAGAACATTGCGAAGCTGAAGACTCCTATTGGCATGTCTAGTGAGAAGAGATGCTTGACCAATATGAGAGATGTGCATACCTGCTCCATTGGCGGTGTGGATCTTGTCGGAGCCATGATAGGGTTCACGAGTGTGAAGCTTCCCCATCTCGCTGGTCAGATGCTTTGTCGCCCCAGAGTCCATGTACCAGTGTGGATCGATGGAGTAGGACTGAGTGTGTCCCTGGTGCTTCTGTGGCGCGGGACGATCAGCCATGGCGACCTGACGGGCATTGTTGCGTGTATCTTTGCCGTCATTGCCAAGACCAAGGAAGCTTCGCTGGAAGCGCTTATGACACTTGGAGGCCCAGTGCCCATCGCGGCCACAAAGCTGACACACACGTGGACCGCCAGCCCCCGGTAAGGTCGCAGTAGGTGGGGGGGCCGAGGCGGGCGACTGTGGCAACCCCAAGGGAGACCGGGGTGATGAAGAAGAGCGGCCACCCTTGGTGGCGACGTTGGCCGAGAGGGAGCCAGTGCCCCTGGTGCGGCGAGTCTCGACCCGTTGCTCAGTGAGAAGAAGCCGAGAGAAAACCTCGTGTGCCAACATGGGTGTCGAGTTGCCCCGCTCGTTGATGATCTCGACTAAGGCATCATACTCCTCATCAAGACCATTGACAATAAACGAGTTGAACTCGGAGTCGGTGAGGGGCTGTCCAATGGAGGCCAATGTGTCGGCGAGGCCCTTGACCTTGTTGTAGAACTCAGTGGCAGTGGAGTCAAGCTTCTGACACTCTCCAAGCTGACGACGGAGTGCAGAGACACGAGCCTGGGACTGCGCTGCAAAGGTGCGCTCAAGGATGGTCTAGGCCTCATGAGACGTCTTCGCGAAGACAACAAGGCCGGCAACTGCCGGCGAGAGCGACCCCTGGATGGAGGAGAGGTTCGCCTGGTCCTGCCCCGTCTAGACGCGATGGGCCGGATTGTAGACCGGACCGTGCACGCTGTCTACCAGCGCGGGTGGGCAGGGAAGCGATCCGTCGACGTAGCCTAGCAGGTTGTGACTCCCCAAGAGCGGGAGAACCTGTGCACGCCAGAAGATGTAGTTGTTGGCGGAGAGCTTGATGGTGATGAGATGACCGAAGTGAAACGGCGGCGGCGAAGACGATCCCATCGAGGAGGCTGCCTGGGGTGCAAACACCATGGAGGCAGCCGGAGGCACTGAAGCCGATGCGGGAGGAGGCGGGACCGCAGCCAGGGCGGGCGCCGCAAAGCTCGCGGTCGGTGCGGACGCCGCAAGGCCCGCGGCCGGGGCGGACGCCGCCAACCCCGCCAGCGGGGCGGTGTGATCCGCTTGCGGCAGGAGCGGCGGGACGACGCCTGCGGAGTCCGCAGCGGACGGCGGCGCCGCGGTGTGGACCACGAGGTCACGCCCGAGCGAGGGCGCCGGCGGCGTGGAGAAGACGGAGCCGATGCTCCTTGTCCCGATCGGAGCCGGAACGGAGACGGCATCGAGCGGGAGGTTGAGCAGAGCCGCAAGAGAGGCCGGGAGGAAGCCCGCAGCAGTGGAACCGGTGGTGGCGGCGCTCGACATGGCGGCGGCGCGGTCGGTGGCGCGGCGGCGGCGGCGGTGAAGGAGGCGGCGGCTGCGGCGGCGGTGCGGGTATTAGGGTTTAGAAGCGGAAGCGATCGTAACCTAGCGTGATACCATGTAAGACAATAAGTTTTGGGAACCAGCACAACCCTCTAGGGGTGGCTTATCTCATTATATATAATGGTTGTGTTACAATACGTACAATATACGTACATAGGTACAGAAGCTATACATAGTCTAACACTGGACCAAAGGGTTCATGTTCCACGAGTACCATGTCATACCTGAATCTTTCAAGGAACTCAGGAAGAAGATCAAGGCCAAAGACTCGCAGCTGCGGGTTCCACCACTCGACCCGAGCAATATCAAGTAAGCTAGCGCTGCAAATATCAAAGGCCGCAGGATGTCTCCTTAAATTCTACTCCCTCTATAAACTTTTATAAGGGGTAGTAACTAATTTTGCCTATCATATATGTTGACATCCCACGTTTTTATTGGATTTTGGATAGTACTTGCCAAAAAAAGCTTAAAAACTTCTTTATACATGATCAATTAGGAACTAGAAATCTCCTTCTCTTAGTTTTGCCATTCAAGATACAACTGTGCCTTGATTAATTACACTCATCGAGCCTCAAGTCTAGTTCATGTAAGTACACTCCTGTTGCTAATTCTAATGATTACTGTACATAGATGTTCTTAGTTCAGGAACTGGTACCTGTATATTACTTCAATAAATCTGAAATTAGCCGGCTAAAGGCACTCTTGATTTTGGCACCCTTTGTGAGTTAATCCAACTGGCAACTGTGCACCTTTATACATCTAGGCACCTTTATACATATATGTGGGGTCCAAGTTACCAAGTTCTATTTGTTGGCAAACAAAGTTACACTGAATTACGCCCTTATGCGTACCCTACTTTACCACATAATTCAATCGTCTTCAGATTCTAGAAGCACAACTTTCTTCTTCTTACTAATGCCTAACTTTTGCTTTTGACGAGAACAGCAAGCCTGAAACTTCTCTGTCTGAAGCAGCTAGGTGCCTAGATGTATAAAGGTGCACAGTTTCCAGTTGGATTAAACAAAGTTACCAAGTATAACGGGGTAACTGAACGGTGCCTACAATTTTTGAATGCCAAAATATTACAAAGGGAACACACGTAAGAGGATTTCAATAGTCTTTTTTGTGCTTGTAAATTTTAATGGGAAAATGTTTCTTTTTTGCCCCATAAAGCTTCAGTGCTCTTCAGAGCACAAAACCTTTTCTGAAGGTGCTAAAATGCTCCATTTTGTTTGAAAAATTGCATGGTTAAAAACCTTGAAAACTCAGAAGTTTTTTTTTATTTGAAAGTATTATTTAACTCCGATGCTAGTAACACCCGGCGAGCAGGAAAACTCGCTGATATACCTAACATAACAAAAGTAAAAAAAAAAGATAAAGTAGTTATACGTGTGTCTCATAGTCATATCTTAACAAGAGAAGCACCAATGAGGAGGTGTTGCATAGAGTACCAGCCTATCCACGCCACTGCTGAATCGTCAAACTAATCATGTGACCCTGCGTCACCATCTAGGATTTCTGCAATCTGAATATCGGCAGCCATGCTGCATCAGGCACACAGTGTAAACCCTGTTGCCATGATATCTATCCTGGAGTGACTGCATCTATCTATCTTATCTTACAGCACTAACAGCAGTTCCAACCAAGGTTTTGGATCCCAAATAGGCAAATTTTCTCGTGGGTGGGCGATATTCCCGGTAACCACGGTTACCGAGAAATACCGAACAAATTTCGGACGAAATTTACAATTGAATTTTGAATTCAAACAATTTTAAATAGATATAATAATATCTTAAACTAATGTCATTCACAAAAGAGGTAGTAGCTCAGTGGTTCCTCAACTGCATGCGCCCTTAGCTCTGTTGAGGTCGCGAGTTCGATAATTTTGGCCGTCATTTTTTCACGTTTTTTACTGCCTATTCTGAAAAATAACAAAAAGAACAAAAAAAAGTGCAGAAGGAGGACTCGAACCTGCCACCTGTAGAGGCGCACAACAGATGGTTACCACTTCGCCAGAGCAAGGGAGTTGTTCCAAAGGAGAAACAAAGCTAATTTATTAGACCTTGAGCGTTCAAATTCAAATTATTCAAAAATTTCGGTATTTTTTGCTCGGGATAGGTATTTCTCGTGGGGCGGCGAGAAACGCGGTAACCGCCCGGTATCCGTTTTTCTCGGGCGGTACCCAAAACCATGGTTCCAACCTCAAATCTGGCACCAAAATATACTTACTCCAGAAGTACTCATCTATATGGACATGATTGAATAATGCGACTCGAGAATCCTCTGCCTCTTGCTCTGGAACTGGAACGGGCTACCACCACATACCAGCTCTGGTGAAGCAACCCTGGCCAGAGCCAACCTCGCAGCCTCCTTCAGAGACGTGAGTCCAGCAAGGCCTGCTGCTGCGCTGCCTTCCTCGTCCTCCTCCTTGCACAGTGTGAAGACATGCTGCACCCTTCCTCCTAGGGAGGTCACCTCCGCTCTCACCGTCCTCAGCCTGAGGCCATGGAGCGCCTGGATGAGCCCGGCGACGAGGTCCGGGCGGTCGTCGCAGCTGACCGAGGCTTTCATGTACAGTCTGGAGTCATCGTCTCCGGTGCAGAATTCAATGGAGACCTCGTCGGTCTCCGGTGGGACAGCCGGCGTTTGCTGTGCGGCCTCGCCTGCTCTCCTCTTCAGGTGCTTCACTTGGTCCACCACCCTGGCTAGCAAGGCGGCCTTGTCCATCTGCACAAAGGAAGACAAGAGACATTTTCCTGACAAGTCACATAATAGCAGTGTACCGCCGCAGTGCCCTACTTTGTCTTATATCTCTAGATAGAATTGCAGGGTGAAAAGTCTGATGAAATGTGAACACTTGCGCGAGTTTTCAATGTTCTTCATAAAGCTCATGTATATATGATGCTGACATAAAGGTCAATCAGAATTGTTTGAAGAGAGACTTCTTAATGCAAAGTTGGTTTCTACCAGAAAAGCTGATCAGCTAACGACAATAATTATGTGCAGCTGAGCTTTGTTTGGTTGATGCCTCACAACACTAAAATGGTGAAATGGCTAAGATATTGTTGGCGCAAACCTGCTTGGTATCAGGGATCATCCTCCTGAGCGCCGTGAGATGAGCGTTGATCCTCACCCGACGCCGGCGCTCGGCCTCGCTGTGGACCTTCAGGGCCCTTGCCTCCGTCGCGCTCCTCCCCGACCCCGTCGACGAGGACGTCGTCGACACCTCCGGCGGCCCAGCCGGTGATGCCGAGCTGGCCTGCCGGGGCAGCAGGACCCGGTCGCCGTGCACCGTAGGATCACACTCATCGTAGAGCTTATTCCCTGCTTGGGGAGATTGGCATGGAGCTGCCATCAAGCCAAGCATGGACAGTGCAAGAACAAGGAGGAATGTGAATTTCTGGTGATGAAGCAGAAGGAGGTGAAGACATGGAAGCGGGAGTTAGACGAGTCGAGTGGATAGGAGGAGGCTCACAATAATTAGTGCGGCGGCGTCTTGTCATCTCATTCTCTTCATATATAGGATTGATATAGGTAGGGGGCAGATGATGAGCGTTGTCTGTGAGAGATGACCGCCCTACATACGCATCTCTTTTCTCACATGTGGTTAGTACCCCACTATGCATGGGGATAATATAGGGGAAATTTCGCTGTTTGGATTGGCATGGATTTGGCCAATGGGTAAGGTGGCGTGTATGAGTGTGCCATGAGTCGAATATACTCCCATGTGGAAAGAATCATGCCATGATAAACCCTTACGAAGGTATTAATTGATTACTCTCTCCGTTTTCAAATATTCCCTCCGTCCGGAAATACTTGTCTTCGAAATGGATAAAATGAATGTATCTATCTAGGACAAGTATTTCCAAACGGAGGGAGTATAAGTCTTTCTAGAGATTCTAACAAGTGACTATGTACGAAGTAAAATGAGTGAATTTACACTCTAAAATATGTCTATATGCATCCGTATGTTGTAGTCCATTTGAAATGTCTAAAAAGACTCATTTAGGAACAAAGGGAGTACACTGTAGTGTAGGAGTAGTATCTATGCACTTGGTTCTGACTTTCAGTGAAATTTCAGGGAAAACCTGGCAAGTTTCAGCTATTTCAGTAGGTGGCAAAAATGTTTCAGCACTTTGAGTAGGTACCATAAGTAAATTATAAAATAAATCGAAAATAGTGGCGCTCCAAATATTTCTGGAGCCAAAATCCGATACCATCACGAGTCACCACTACTGCCTGTTGGCCACAAGATTCGTTGACTGGAATATAATCCTCCGAGCGCGAGAGGCGGCGACGGACGGAGACGACGCCCACTGTTGGTTAAGGGAAGCTATTATCAGCAGCGCTGTCGGGCCTGGCCTCTTGCAACCACGCTGCTGCACTCCCTCTCCTTCCACATTCAACCAGCAACTTCATTCACACTGTTCCGCCAGTTCGCTGTGTCAAGCAACACAGTGGAAACATGATTATTTTCCGATACGACGCCATTTCTCGACTGCTTGTGATCACAACATGTGTGTAAAGTCAGGGAATGAAACGGGTTTCCCTTTGACTTATAAAACAGAGGAACATGGTGGACACCAAAGCGGGCTGCTCGCCATCAGCGTCAGACACGCACAGCTGCCCCAGAAGAGGAACAAGTGCCGAGTGCTCTGTTTCAGGGACTGGACTCGGTGGAGACCACTGGTAATAAGTCGCTAGAGGCAGCACCAGTCTGTTTGCTTAACACGGTAATAACCGTGTCAGAACTCGCGTGAAATCTTCGTGTGCATGGTCCAACTTGTTTTTGGAAGTGACTTCGTATAGTACTCCTAGTATTGGCATCCACTGATTTCAAAGAGAAGGACCCTCCGACGCCTGATCCTCGATCCGGAGGATCTGCTGTATCTTTTCTTTTGACGCCCTGCGCTCCTTCTGGATAGGCTGGCTATTAGCTAGTCTCGTCACCTTTTCTTTTTGAAATTTTTGATGAATCGATCATGGGAACAGACCGCCTCTTTCGCGATTGCACTTTGATTTTTATATAGAAAAAAAGGCCATGAAGATTTCAGTTTGCCAAAGTGATCAAAGAGATTACACTCCATCACTTTGCAAAACCCTTCTGTACCTGTTCTTTTGGACAACCGTTTGTCTCCACTTTATGCTGCTGTATAACTATAGTTTACTGCACATGCAACATTGATAATTCATCAGCTGCAATGCCATTAGGTACACGTCTTGTCTTGGTCAGGGAGTGGTGTCTAGCCATATAATATATGAATTTCAATTACCGTTCGTGTTAGCGTCCCACTTGCTAATCAATCAACAGAACAGGACAAGATTACAGAGTTTGGGATAGCTAATTAGAGATGCAGGGGTAGCATCAAGGGGATCGACCAAGAGAGACGGAGGTGGGAGAGAAGAGCCTGGTGCCGGTTTCAGCCTCCTCCCTAGTAGCTACATATGGGAGCACCTATTCAGCGACCTACGCGCTGGATAGGAAGGAACGCACACCTCCCGCTTACCCTGCACATGTTTTTTGGCCGGCCCATGTGCAGGGCAGGAGGCCCCTTTTTTCAATTTCATTTTTGTTTTTTGATCTTTAACATAATTAGAGATTTCAGAAGTTTCATCTTTTTTAAATGCGAATTTTGACAAAAACAATATATGAGATATCATAAAATGTTGGTGAATTCAAGAATTATTCATGTTTCTTAAAAAATGCCCGTGATTTTTAAAAATGTTAGCATATTAAAAAAGTCCATGATTTTGAAAAAAAAAGTTCATGAAATCAAAATTTCATGTTTTTGAAAAAAATGATCTTGAAATCAAAATTTCATGATTTTGAAAATATGTCCAAATATATAAAAAATATTCATGAATTTTTATAACTTTTAAAAAATATAAAATGTTCACAAAGCTATGAAAATATCATCAACTAAAAAAATGTCATGAACTCAAAAACTGTTCATGCATTTAAAACAATGTTTGTAAAATGATATTTGTGACTTTCAAAAATGGTTTGTTGATTAAAAAAATGTTCACGATCTTCAAAAAATGCTTGAGAACTTGTAAAAATGTTCTAAGATCTGAAAATATGTTTGCCAATTAGTATAAAATGTTTGTGAATTTCATAAATGCTCGGGATTTCAAAAAAACGTTCACGAATACGAAAAATGCTCATGATTTTAAAATATGTTCACAATTTAAACTTTGTTCATGAATTTGAAAGATGTTTGCAGAATGAAAAGGAAAAGGGAGAAAAATGAAAAAATGAAAATAAAAAAGAAAAAAGAAAAGAAAAAACAAGCATCAAATAAAGAAAAGAAAAAATCGAGAAGAAAAGATAAACGAACAAACATAAAAGAAAAAGGGAAAACAAAAAAATATAAAAGAAAGGAAAACCAGAAGGGAAAACAAAGGAAAAAATGGGGAAAATGGTTCAAGGAAGGTCCCAGAACCTTCTCAATATCGGAATAGGGAGTCTGCCATACAAGCCTTCTTGAGTCGGCCCAATATGAAATGTAGCGAACGCGGGCGTATGTGTTTGGTCTCTATCCAAAGACCTACGCTCCAAATAGGAGCCGTGATTACTTATATGTAGTTAACCGCTCTCGGGTGGTGCACGTCTGGCCCGACCCATGTGCTGCCCAAGGGCAACCCCAACTATGATTGAAGGAGCCGCCAATGAAGTGGTCGACATTAGCATAGTCTTAGTCGAAGCTGAGGTCATACTTTGCTCGAAGAAGGCGGCAACAACTATCCCTCCCTCATATAGAATGATCCTTATTGTAGCAGGTAGTTGACGTAATACTACTCTTGGCTGGTGCTCTCTTGTTGATTATCATCACCATTAGAATTATGGCCAGTTGAAGACCATAAGCTGGCATGGTGATGCTCTAAGGATCCAAAGACATATGCACTTCGTTGGTTGGGTATTCGGCCCAAATAAGAATCGAAGCATTGGGAAGATCACATGAGCAATCACAACGTAAAGAGTAGCATCTCTGGTCCCCCTCAACTGCAACATGTATGTGTGTTTGCACACGAACACGTCATCGTGTACGCCCGGCATCGAGCTTGATACCCATGCCAACATTGTCAAAGGTGCCTCGCCTGGACCGTGATACACAAGACATGTCGGCGTGATCTTTTAGGACCTGAAACTCCACATGTCCGGGAGGGACCCCGTCAGGGGGTGCAGCTTCTGTGGGTTGTCCTAGGTCCGTCCAACCGCCCCTATAGCCTCGAGGATCGTTGCTCCCCAACACGAAGAACAAGGAATCAAGAACAAGGGAGAGATGTAAAAAGAACGGTACAAAGTACTATGTGCGTTTGTGATTGTGTGTTATTTCAGTCATCACCTCTCATCTTTATATGGGGTGGCTGGACTTCCCGTACAAAAAAGGACTCAAATCCCGCCCGAAAGATAAATTTCTAACCTAATTCGGACAAGTAGGCCTGAAGGCCCCATATCAGGTACGGAGACTTCATGCTACAATGTATGTATATAATAGCCTCTTTTATCTGTCGTGGATATTGCATACAACAATGGATCGCCATAACACCAACAATAAACCTATTCTCCATGACGAGTTGATCAACTTTCATGTTCAGCACTTTTCCATCTGATATCGTTTTGAGGATGAATTTGTGCGAAAAAAATCACTAAACAGTACTACAAACCCAGTTTTCTGGGCACAACTGTACAAACTTTATGTTGCATCTGAGGCTCACTTTTTCTACAACCCATTGTTTTGGATGCAAAAGGTGCATATGACCATGGATTGAGATGATCTAAAAAGCAAAATTTGATTGTCTCGATAAGGTAAACAACTTTTGTGTTGACACTTTTCTATTTTAGGCCACTTTAGTTATGTTTTATGCCATGCCAAAATTTGGTGTTAACGCATGCATCTTTGTACTTGTCATAATTTTTTATGTCCGAGCTTTGATTTGGGCTATCATTTCCATCTGTATCGTCTCGGACATGGTACCACAATGGTGAACTCTAATCTTCAAACTGACCTCATCTTGTTATGGTTCAAGCCATCCTTTATGATCGTGTCATTTTGAGTGTTAACACATGCCTCCCTGTTTTTGGTAAAGCCAGCGTGCCAAAAAAATAAGTTGCACCACTTTCGTTCTTAGGACAATGGCAATACTCCATCGGCCTTTGCACATGTGCTGGGTAGGCAGACGTCTGGTCTGCTGACATGAATGCATGTAGGAAGTTGCCCTGTCCGGTCACGTCCGTTGTGACCAACAGGATGCAGTGCGGAAAGCGGGTGGACGCGGCGAGAGAGGTGGTTTTGGGTCGGCTGGGG